ATGTTTCTCTTTCTGCATACTGCTCATGAACAGCCTGGGTTGAACTATCAGCGGTTCAGGAGAAAGCAAAGCTCCCATTGCTGCTCTCCTATCCTCTATCATATCTGTCTTCCTTTCAATCAGGAAAAAAAAAAACGTGTCAAACTTGGCTGTGTGGCCCTGTATTCCTTTCAGTGCTTCTGTAGAATTAAGGGGAGCCTTTTACCTTTGCATTGGGCATGGGGTCTCGCCAAATGTCGATCTAGTTTGGCTGCAAGCCGCTTTGCCGTCTGAAGAAGAGCTGTTGCTCTCGCAGAATCTCTGAAAATTGCGAGCATCTCTTCCTCGCAAGCAGTACTACCTGCACTTTAGTGATCAATACAAAACACAAAACCATCTCCCAGACCGAAAGGGAAGTAAAGAGGTGATTTAACCTTGCATTAGAGAAATTGTTACTTATGAAAAGGTTTAAAAAAAATTCAATAACAACTGAAAATGATACAATTTTAGACTAGCTTAGAAGAGAGGATTGTTGTATTTATCAATAGATGCAGCAGTATGGGATGTCTATTACCTGATTTGGTTTTTATGGGAAAATCCATGATGATGGTCTTTTTTTTTTTTTTTTTATCTTTGCCTTCATCTCTTCCAATTGCTTTTGAAGTCCCTGTATCAGGTGAAGTCTTGCTGGATGCAGCGTGCAAATGGTTGCCACCTTCTCCTTTAATTTCTTTCTTCCATGTTAGAAGATACCCAGATACTGGTAGATTCAGTGGTTTTGTCTAGCTTACAGCATGTGCTTCTCCCAGTGAGGTCGCTGTAAAGGAAAAAAAGTTACTCTGTATTTGTGTCCCTTCCTTCCAGTGATCTTAGATAGCAGTGGGAAGGGTAGAAAACTAGGAATGTAAGGCTGACAGGAGGCTTTTGGGAACAGACGGTCGTCCATTCCTGTGCTGACTCAGGCAGCCCCGTCCTATAAAGCCAACACTGCTGTATGTCTGCCTTGGGTTTTTGGTGCCGTTATTATTATTAGGAAGCTATTTTCATCCTTGCTTTCTTGTGGTAAGAGATTTTGTGTGTATGTTTGTTTCTAGCCCTTGATCATCTTAAAAGAAGGCTCAGCCTGCTCAGCACCATCTCCTAAGCATTCTTCCTCTGAGGAGTGCTTCTTCCTTTGTGCATTTTCTATATTGCCAGTTTTGAAGGCTTAGCATTACAGCATGGCTAGCAGAGTACCAGGGCGCGTGCCTATCTGCAGTCCTGGGTCCAGCCCTGCTGAGTTTGCACCTGGTCCCTGGCTGAGGGGTGGCCAGTTGGATTTGGCGTTTCTGACCTCCCCTCTGGCAGGCGGAGGAGAATGTGTTTGTGGTCAAGCAGCATCAAGAGTCTCTGTGCCAAGGCTGCTAAAGTGGTATCTGGTTCATGCCCGTTATCTGAATTTGCGCTCATGAAAATCTCTCTGAGGCCTGAGACGTATCTTGTGGGAGTTGTGCTCGCTGGGCTCAGAGAAGGGGAGCCTAGTGAGGCTCATCGTGGCATCCATAGGAAGTGCACGTAATCAGCTGGTGAGAAAATGCAAATGCCCAAAGAAGAAAAGCAGCAGCTATGAGAATTGCTTAGATGAGCTCTGTGAAGAAAAGGTAGAGTAAGGACTAAGCTAGTATCGCCTTTGATGCCTGTTATAATCATCTGTAATATATTTCCTTTAAAAAAATGGGCCTGCTTTTCCAACACACTGAGCACCCACGTACCCGAAAAGCTGCGTGCTCCCATTGCTAATGAAAGGTCAGGCCCCTGGTGTCTGGTGATCAGTCGGCGCAGAAATCCAGCAGCCCTGAGACACAGAGCAGTGTCTGCCTCCACAATCCATGGCTTTTGAAAAGCACTTGGAGCCTTGAGGTATCAGGTGAGCAAAATAAAATGAAATGATGGGCTGCCAATATCCTGTCCACAGGTGACTGATGTGGTGACAGTGACATATAGGATAACAGGGAGAGGGAGATTGATTGTGCTACTCTAAACCTGACAGTGTCAGAGGATACCATATGCAGGGAGGGCAAAGCCAGGCCTCTTGCAATGAGGCTGTCCAAGTCCCAGGATTGATTGATTAGTCCCAAGCAACGAGGCTTTCCAAGATCCTTCTCTTAAACCATGACGTTATAGAACAGAAAAAGTTGTTTCAACTGGCTGGGCAGTTACAAATCCTCTGCGTGGCATTGGGTCTGCAGGGAGCTTGGGACTGGCAGCTTTATACCATGGCTTGGTGATTAGTACCGTTAAAACACATGGTTAGGATCCAGATTTGGCTGAACTAGAGCAGGACAGGTGGAGATATCTGGCTGTCAGTGGATCGCCCCAGCCCTGGCTGATGGCACAGCTCCAAAAGTAGCCGCTTATCTTCAGGAAGGGGCTGTCGCGGGGGCAAGTCAGACTGACACAGAAAGAGTCACTCCCGTTGCTGGAACTGGCAGTGGAAAGGCTTTTTATTTAACACAGGAGTTTGAGCAGAAATGTGAGGAGAGGGGATTCTGTGGTGCAGGAGGCAACTGCTTTATTTTGGAGTGATGTTTTTGTTTTTTAAATCCATGAATGCATGGCCAGTCAAACTGGAAGACTGCCTGCGTTCCCCACAGCAAGGAACGAATGGTCCCCAAGCATCTGTCTCTCTTAAATTCTTTCGTCGCAGTCCTGGTCGCTGCTTGCTCGCCCATCTCTCCCTGCCCAAGGTGATGGCTGGAGCACCAGGCTGAGAAGAGCAGCCCCGTGTGTTCGGTCCCGAGGTTTGGAGACTTCTTTCTCCATGCTGCTGCCTCAAATGGGAAAGATACGGTGGGGTAAAGGAGAAAAAGATCTTTGGGGAAAGAGGCTGGAAGGAACATGAGGGGCTTAGATTTTTCTAGAGGCAGTGCTGCCTATTTTGTGTTGTTTTAGGGGCTCGTGTTGGTAAGTAGAGTCTCTTCAAGCCCACTGCTGCCACCACCAGCAGACCTCAGCCGTTTCCCTGTGACCTGCTTGCAGAAGGGGAACACAGCTTTCTGCTCCTGCTCCCCATCCAGCATTGTGCGATGCCCCCCTGATGCGTACATGCTCTGAAACACTGCCTGGCACTGGCCCTCTGTTTCCAGAGCGAGGAACCCAGCAGGTCTCATGGCTAGAGAGGAGCTTGGGACCCATGCAGTTCCTGGCTCAGGCTCTTTGCAGAGTGCTGCAGCGACACGGCACAGCTGAAAAGATGTTTCTCTGGCAGGGAGTGTGATGTTCCCTCTCTGGATACATCACCCCACCGGTCCAGGGAAATCATGTTCTTCCTCTGCTTTCTCCAGCGCACTCATGTCCCAGCTCTTGGGGCTGTGGAAGGGAGCAGAGGTTCCCTGAGGTTGGGGCTCTCCATCACGGGTGGGTCTCTAACTTGTGCGTTTATCTGATTCAGTCGAGGGCCGTCTCAGAGCTCAGAGGCAGCAGACACTCCCTTCTGTTCAGGGGGATGGTGCCTTTGTTAGATGTGTCCTGCTATATTAAGAATAACAACGTAGTGGTGGTGGATTTTTTTTTTTTTTTTAAGGAGCTGATTGTTCTGAAGCAGTGAAGTGAGAGACATGGGGAGAGGGAGCGTAGGGTGGGGGGAGAGGAGGTGCTGGTGCAGTGAAGTAGAAAGTAATGAAATTGAGCCAGAGAGAGCAGGACTGAGGGGAAAGGAGCAGAGCACACTAGCATCCAGGGTGACAGCATGAAGGAGAATCACTTGTTCACCTTCAATCAATTCATGCTTTTTTTTCCCCCATCGCACACGCCTGTGTGCAGCTGAGCGTGCAACGGGAGGGAGGGGAGAGGAGGCGTGCATTGTCAGGAGCTGTTAGGAAATACATTTGTCAACAACAGGGCAGGAACTGGAGAGAAAGGAAGGAGGCGGCCGTCACCAAAGCTGAGCAGGCCATAGCCTTTTATTTATTGATGGATTCGTTCCATTCCTGTGTTGGGAAGCGCTTACCTAGGGGGAAGAGCAACAGAGTGTGGAAGAAGTGGGTCCAATTTCAATATTTATGCCTCCTACCCACGGTTAAATGCTCCCAGGTGGAGCTGTTCAGCCAGTTCAGCAGCCCTGGGGCCACTTGCACTTCATTCCCCTCCAGTAGAGCCAGCTCCTGGAATTTGACCCAGTTTGTCATTTCCACAGGTTAATAGGAGTTGCAGCTTGAAGAACTTTTGTCCTGCAGGGACCATTTCTTCTGGAAGAGTGTGGTTAGTGAACTGGTGCTCCTAGCTAGTTGCTCTGTCTCTTGGACCGCCGCTGTGTTTTACCTGCAGTTTCTGATGGCTGATCTGAGCACACTGGGGACACGTCTCTGTGCGCCTCGTCACCAGAAGCAGTTCACTTCCGCTGGGAAAGTTTGAGTGTGTAATAGCTCCTCTTCCCAGCTCTACTGCAACTCATGTTAGTAGCATTTCTCCCTCAAGCGTTCAAGTGTGTCGGCTCCTACCTGTGTATCATGTTCTTTGTACACCACTTCTTGTCCTTTAGAAGAAGGTCTCCATGCTTTGGGAGCATGGTGGCCTTCTTTCCGTAGCACTGAAATGGTTGTGTATCCTGAAGGAATTAACTGGTGGGTGATCCTTTGCTGGGATAAGAGTTGAATACTGTGCTTCTGGCAGTAAGCAACATGATGGGAGGTGGGAGTTGTTGTTCTGGACATGGAGGAGCTGTGTGGGACAGTTTTCCAGCAGTTCGTCCTATTCAGAATCCATAGATAGCGCTATGGATCAGGCGTTAGTCTGTTTATGACCAGCCCTGGGTGGCTTTGCTTTGGACAAGTCTAGTGCATTCCTGTACCTCAGCTTCCCTTTGCACAGTGCTAGCGAGTAGTGACGGAGCTCCCTGTCCCACAAAGTGTTTGCAGAGGCCTTGCTTGTGGACCTGTTCAAAGGCATTTGAGGAGCTGGCATTGGCAGTGCTGGCAATTGCTTCCCCCTACACTTGATGTTGAAGTATATTTTTATATATGTGTATTCCCCCTCCTTTCTAGGTTTGGAAGAAGTTCTTAAGCTCCCAAGCTCCCCGTATCAGTGTCTTCATGGCAGTACCCACTATTTATGCCAAACTGATTGAGTATTATGACAAACATTTCTCTCAACCACCAGTCCAGGATTTTGTGCGTGCCTTTTGCCGGGACAACATCAGGTAGGTGGGAGATGCCCCTCTGCACTGCCTCCAGTTGTCAGCGCTGAAGGATAAGCTCTGCACCAGACAGGGTGGCTGCTGGTGGCTCTCTGTTCCCACAGTGGCTCTGCTGAGTTCTCTTCTTAACTTTGTCTTCGCAGTGCCAGGCAGTTTGTTGCGCTTTAGTGTCTCTCTCTGACAAGAACCAGGGTGACGTTATTTAATTATGAGCCACTCTTGCATGGTGAGACCAGAAGGGGTCTGCATGCTCGTTATGTGTGTCACCCTGCATAACACAAGGCTAAAGACTTCATTCTGCAACCCAAGCTTGTACTGCAGCATCTCTTTTAGGAGGCTGTCCCATCTTGACTTGAAAGCCATGGCAGATGGAGAATCTGCTGTGTGTGAGGGTCATCCCTGGTACTGGTTAAAAGTCTTTTGGAGCGTCTGTTTTAAGGCTTTACGTAAGAGCAAGCTTTGTGTACTTTGTGTTAGATTGCAAATTCCCTGGAGCAAAGGTGATCTTGGATGCTTTCTTACATGGGATTTCCTTGTGCAGGTTAATGGTGTCAGGCTCAGCAGCCCTGCCTGTGCCTGTCCTGGAGAAATGGAAGAACATCACTGGACACACGTTGCTGGAGCGGTATGGGATGACTGAGATTGGGATGGCGCTTTCTAACCCTTTGCATGGAGTCCGTGTCCCAGGTAGGATTTTCTAGAAGATGGACCCTGTTTGGAGGTGTTTTGCTGTAAGATGTTCTTGGTTTTTCTCATCGCAGAGAATATACATCCGTTCACAATTTGTCATGATTCAAGAGCAGACCCGCATAGGAACAGTGATGCTGGTAGGGGGATTGGCATAGCCAGGTGGAGCCCAGAAAAGGGTATGGGTGCATACGTAAAGGGTGGTGGGTTTCCCTTCAATTACTGGCCATGGTGCATTGGCAAAGCTGTGCGTGCAGAGCTTACAGTGGCATGCAGTCTGACCTGACCAGCCAGGCCAATTCTGTCCAGGAGGCAGAGTCCATTCTGGACACTTTACTGTTTCCAAGAGGGCAAGTGCTGCAATGGGACTGGCATCTGTAGCTCCTGCTTTATGAAGTTGTATTCATGTGTGGTGCTGACATAGGATTCTCCACAGAGCAGTCGTGCCAAGGCAATCGCAGAATAGTTGGGGTTGGAAGGGACCTCTGGCGATCATCTGGTCCAACTGCCCCTGCTCCAACAGGGTCAGCTGGAGCAAGTTGCCCAGGACTGTATCCATCTCCAAGGATGGAGATGCCACAACCTCTGTGGGCAACCTGTCAGTGTTCAACCACCCTTTCAGTAAAGAAGCGTTTTCTTATGTTGCGGTGGAATTTCCTGTATTTCGGTTTATGTTCGTTGCCTCTCACTCTGTGGCTGGGCACCGCTGAGAAGAGTCTAGCCCCATCTTCTTTGTTCCCTCCCATCAGATATTTATGCACATTGATAAGATTTCCTCTGAGCCTTCTCTTCTCCAGGCTAAACAGTCCCAGCTCTCTCAGCCTCTCCTCATATGAGAGATATTCCAGTCTCGTAATCATCTTTGTGGTCCTTCAGTCAATATTGAACATATAAAATAGGTTGTCTGTTCGCTCTTATTTTAGTGCAGGTTTCTTGACTCTTGAGAAACTAGAAATTGTCACACCTCCTTGTACATTCTGGCCTGCTTCTCTCCTTGCATTCCCCCACCTCTCTTCGCTACACTTCATGACTCCTCAATATCTCTAATTTTATATAACCTAGAAAGGAATTGATCTAAAACATTATAAAATGTCCCCACCCTCTTGTTGGTTCAGAACGTGGCCATCTGTCTGCCAAGCAGCCCAGCCCACCGCTATCCCACCTTCTCCTTCCCACGTGCTGTCCATGCATGCATGGCACCATATGCATCGTTTTGGTCTCCAGTATCTTATGAGGCCAGTGTTACCCAGGGGACTTTCCTGTGCATCATAGCTTCCCACAGCACCTCAATCCCACAGGATGTAGAAGCTGTGCCTGTGAAGGGATTACACAGGACATGGAGAAGCCACAGCTTCCCCTGGCACTGGCTTCTGAACCTGAGATCAGCTATGGGGCGGCACAAGATACAAACTCCAGGTTACTTTTGCAGGGTAACCGTACTTCTCCCTCCAGGACTCAGCCAGTGTTCCCTTTTCCTGTAAATTCTGTCTGCGCAGGCTGGAAAAGGAAGCGGATAGGACCACCTACATGAGCTAGAGCTTTCCATGAGCCCTATGCTGCAGGGTGATAGTGCAATCTGAGATCTCTTGAATGTCGTTGTGGCCCAGTAAGATCTGCTTTTCCTTCATCTTCAGTAGTGGAAATGAGTAGAGTATCTACAAATTTCACAGGCAGAAAGGAAATAAGACTGAAAGTAAAAGGGGCAGGATGGAGAAATTAGCACCAGGGAAGGCAACTCCTGTTCCAGAGCTGGATGGCAGGCCCTCCTAACAGAGCCAGTGTATAGTCTCCGACAGTACTGGGGTCTGCAGAAGAGCTGGGAGCAAATAACCTCACACAGCTGCACCCAGAGGGACTGAGGATAAAAGCTGACTTGACTGTTGCTCTAACCACCATCCTGGGGGTGTGCTGGAGCCCTGAGAAGGGACAGACAAGAAACTCCAAGGTGTGGATCAGCTAGAGACCTTACAGAAAGGAGGCTATAATTTAACAGACTTGATTAATTTATTTCGGGAAGTGTCAGTTGGGAAGCAGATGGGTGAAGCTGAGGCATAATTTACTTGAGCTGTGAAAAAGCTTTTGATATAGTACCCCATTAGAGGCTAGGATGTAAGGTCACCAGGTACAATAGAGTACTGAGCGTGAAAGAGTCAACTGAGAAATACGGTAATTGTTTGGGAACGGAGTCCAGGGCAGGAGCATGTGTGTGGGAGAAGGGCACGGGTGGCCCGCTGCAAGGACGAGGGGTGCTACAGTCTGCTGAAGCAGAGCAGGTACGTGACTCTGCAGCCTAGCTTGTAGAGAAAGAGGAGCTAGGATCTCCAGCCAGGCTTCAAAGGAGGAAAGCAGGGTTTGGGGGGCTTTATAAAGCAAAGAGATGGCCTCGAACATGAAGTGAGCGCACTCGCCCGTCTGTATCTCAGCGTCAGCTGTGCTGAGAGGGCAGTGAAGGGCTGCAGGGCCCCGCGGAGCCCATGCTGGTGTGCCTGCTGCTGTACTGCATGTGTAATTGTTCCGAAAAGTCTGTCCTGAATGTGATCCGTCTCTGTCCCCAGCCTGCGCGGGCAGGTCCCTGTGGATAAATGCCAGGATCCTCAGTTTTCACAATGGATTTCTTGTGGAGTTGAAGCACCTTGCTTTCCTCTCTGCTACGTCGTGAACTCCTGCATCTGTGCGGAGACCCTGGGACTTCCCTTGCCCTCCTTCCCCCATGTGGTGTGGCTGGGGAAGGGTCCAGAGTCCTCAGAGCTGGCCTTTCCTGGCTGTGTCATGCCTCCTGGTGTCTGACAGAGTAGCACTTTGCTCTCCATGCAGAGCACAGATTTGAAGGTGCAAGGGAGGGTGGGGGCTTTAATTTCAAAAAGAAGAAAAGATGAAAGATCTGAAAGATAAATGTTTGCTTGTATATGGTTAAAACCCTGCTTAAAATGCCTCTGTTTTCACCAGCTCTCATTCTAATCCCCCTGGTGCTGTTACTGTGAAGGGAGATGAATAATTCATGGACAGAGAATGCCTCACTGGGCCTAATCACCACTTTAATTGGAGGTTTAGATCAGAGGCGGCTAATAGCTCCTACAGTGGGGACTCCGTGTATTGTTGACAGTGAGATCGTTGAGTGCCTTATCGTTGGCCTGTTTCAATTCTCCCAGGACACCACCACACATAACAGCATCAAGGTCCCCAGATACCGAAGGACACAGACCGCAGGGCCAATTAAATTTATCTGGGAAGAGCTGACAACTTTTTTAAACAGCGGAGAACCGGTGAAAGAATAATAGTGTCACTCCTTTCTGACTGCAGCCTGTCTGGTGCTGGCTGAGTTGACACTGTGGGCATGTTGCCAGCATTTCTTAACATTCAGGAGTGTGCAAATTGGAGAGAGCCGGGAAGGGCAGTGGGGGAGGGAGCTGGAGGGGAAAGAGCAGTGATTTCTCCCCAGTTCTACCTCTGAATTATGGCTAGTGACAAAAGGAAGCCAGTGCTGATTTTTTTACCCGCTTTTGGCCACAAGCGAAGTGGGGTTAAGCAGAGACCTGTGGTGCTGCGCCTTTGAGAACCAGCTTCATTTACCACTGACCTGTTGGAATCAGCATGGTGTATATTTTAACATCTCAGATGGGCCTGAGAAGCTCTAATCATTGTCTTTGCATAGATTTTAATTATACTGTCATGTTCACGTAGATCTAATCAAGGTTGTCAGCATTTTCGGTATTTGCAGACGTTGGCTTCCAAAAGTTTGTCCTTTTTATTGAGGACTAAAAAGACTTTTCCAGACAGAATATGAAGAAACAGTTTCCCACAAGGGGTTTATTTTACATGTTGGATTTGGCTAAAGTAAAAAGGAAATAAATTGATGGAGCAGTATTTGTAATCGTGATCTGAAACCTCTTTCTACCACAATAGTGAAATCATCAGTGCGCTTCCTGAGAGCCCATATGAAGACAGGACTGGAGCACGTGTTGTGACTGAGAATGACAAACAACCACTCTGTCGTACTGGGGGAGCAATTCTTTTGTTTCATGTATCTGTGTGTGTAGATATAAATATATATGTAAATACATACATACATACATATATATATATATGTATAAAAATATACGTGCATGCACACAGTCAGGCCTGCCTGCCTCCTAGAATTGGCTGTGGGGCCCCTTACCTCCCGGACCACCCATTCAAACCCAAGAAGATATTGACCACAGGCATTTAGTTTGTAACATGTAGGGGGTCGGGGTAATGATTTCAGAGTGCCGAAGTCACTAAGAAAATGTGACTTCTTTTCTTTAAAAGACCTGCATCCTATTGCCTTTTCTGTGTCTTCACATTTGTATGAAAGGATTGTGCTGATGTTTGATGTTTCTAGATCCTCAAAGGTTGAGACTAGAAGCGGCCACTAATCATTTAGCACTTCTGCCCATGGATCAAGATTGGTAACTGGCCTACAGTAAGGAAATGTGTTCTCGGAAGGCGTCTCTGTAGTGTTGGTTTGAAGGCTTCTAGAGCTGGCTGATTTGCGAGAGTCTGTGGCAGCTCATTCCAGTGGTTACTGCCCCCCCAGCCCTGCCACCGCTGCTGCGACCTTGAGCCTGTAAGACTGACTTCATTTGCCTTCTGTGTCTGACTGTTGTCTCTTGCTGTGTCTTTCTGCAAGACTTAAGGCTGTCAGTGCTAGGGATTTTGGAGAAAATGTACCCGTAGGCAGCAAACTTCACTTGCAAATATTTGGCATATTTTCCATGAATTATAACTTGCCTTGAGTCCTCTGGAGTCCCCTGTGGCAGATACCAGCCTCTGTTTAAAATACAGAAATACCTCTGTCTGGCACCTCTAATGGCACTTGGACTTCTGGTGAGAAGTGAGACACGTATGGCATGCACCTCTCCCTCCTTCCTCTGCTCTAGTCCATTGTCTCTGACTTGGTAAGGCCAACTTTCTCTCCCCAGCTTGGCAGTTTGTCCGTTATGCAAGCAGTCCAAATGAGGCTCCTGGTAAGAAAAGTTCCTGGCTGTAGGTATTAGCTGACCTTAATTCTGAAGGAAACTTTCAAGCTGAACAGGCACACCTCACTGAACTGCCATGTAGCTTTCTGTTTATTTCTTGCCAGATTTGCTAACTGTTAGGGTAGTTTTGCTGCAATAAAATCTCACTCCCTCATAGCCCATCTGCTCTTAGCTGATCTTGCAGGGATGCCATAAATGTGGGGTATGACATCATATCTAGTTCCACGGCACCTAACCAATGTAGCAAACAATTGTGATGTCACAGATATCTGATCTCGAGAGCTTGAACAGGACAGTGAGAGCAGGATAGGGAAAAAGTCACTTGCACCCAGATGCCTGAAAGGCAGATCACAAGGGGATGACAGAAAATGCTGCCATACGAAGGCTAGGAATAGAAGAGATCCAGCTACTTCCCACTCAGTCCTTGCTGCAGGATAGAAGTCCCATTTTCACATCGTCTGGCGCAGCAGCTCTCAGCAGGGCTGTCACGCGACTCACGGCCACTGATCTCCAGCGTGTCCTCGTGGCTCCCAGGAGTGGACCTGCTGATAGGGACAGGGAGAAGCGTTAGGGAGGAAAGATGAGACTGGACTTTGTGTCTGTTGCCTCTGAGAATTAAGAGCAAATATCCCCATTTTCCAGTTGTCATACCTATCTCAAGCGAGACATAAAGGGTTGATGTTTTTAATTAGGTTTGAGAGAGCAAGTGAGCTGCAGAGCTTATCTTTGGCTCTTCCCAGAACTTGCGTTCCTAGGGCCCAGCAGTGGGCTCCACAACCCCTACACCCTGCTCTGAGGCCTTTCCAATCATGCTACGTTGGACTGATGCCTGCCGCCTGGCTAGCAGAGTTAGAAAGCACCACCAACTAGTGACCCTCTAGGTGGAAAAATTGATTATCTCATAAAATAAAGAGTACAGTTGTCACTTTCTGCTCAGACCTGTCCAGTTCTCCCCAGCCACAGGGCACTCTCTGCTGACTTCTTTCTAGACCCTGTTCAGGTTTGTATGCTCACTGGTCTCTGACTGCAAGAGATGAAAGTCCAGAGCCTCTCCTTGCAGTGAGAGCAGCCTTGTGCCATTGAGATGCAAAGTGAAACCTGCTGAGCCAGCAGATGCCCAAGACTCCTGGTTGCTGCTGTGCCCTGAGCCTCCCATCAGATAGAGGTCTCGGGAACAAAGCTGCCCTTTCATCTTTATTCTCAGAAGCTTACCAAGAGCACGCATTAAACCAAGGGGTGGGAATCTTGCAGGAGGCAGGTTTGAGAGCTCTGGGTTGCTGGACCATCTTGCAGCTTAATAACAGTTGTTCCTCACGCTATGTCAGATTCCCTGGCTTTGAAAATTGAAACCTGTGGAAGAATGGTGTGTTTTTTGATCTGTGCTTTTCTCCTATCAAGTTTTATATACAGTGTATTGATGGCATATAAAACTGAGATAATCCCTTGCAATTCTTACATTGTTAAGCCTTTGCCTTCTCTGTTGGGTCCAGGCTGTAGAGAAGCGGTAAGCCACTGTAGCAATCATTGTGCTCTTTCTTTTCAGATCTCCGTATAAGGTGTTTTTTTTTTTTAAACACAGGCTTTATTACAGAGCTACGAAGCTGTGCTGATGTCTTCAAAGACTGGCCAAGAAAACTGTTCGGGGCTGGAGAAACATTTGTTTTCCTAGGCATTTCCAACACTGGCTGTTCAGCAAACATCTGAGTGTTGCACCACAGTGACGTTTGCATGCAGATATATGATGTGATCAAAGCCTTCCTGAAGGGTATATCCCTGCTAGGAAGTTCTTTAGTGCCAGCAGAGTCTGCAGATGCCATTGGTAGTAGAGTAGCTGCTCTTTGCGTCCTTGATTTTTTTTTTTTCTTTTCCCAAGGGTTGTCCGCTGTCTCAGTCATGTTCCCTCTGTTTCCTTCGCAGGGTCTGTGGGGACCCCACTTCCGGGGGTTGAAGTGCGCATTGCCACCGAGACCTTGAAAAGCGGCATTCATTCCTACAGCATCCATGCTCAGGGAGATGAAAACAGCACACAGGTAGTACGCAGCCATGTGCTCTGCTGCTTGAATTTTTCTGATGAAAAGTTCTCTCCTCCCCAGCCCTCCGAAACCCCAAGGATCGGGATTGAGGCTTGCCCTACTGTTATTCCCAGGACCTCAGTGATGCTATTTAGTCTTTTCCCTTTCTTGCCTTCTTTTTACATCCTACTGTATTCATGATACTCTATGGACCGCACAAGTGTTGTCCCTGTTGAGGAACAAGGTCTGAGAGAGAAAAAAACAAATCCCTACATGGGGGTGAGAGGTGAAGGGCTATGATGATAAGAAGATGATATTGTGGCTGCTGAGGCTGTTGATGCCCAGAGGAAGGTGATGAGTTAAGCTGTGCCTGGCCTTTGAAAGCCAGGACAAAAAGTTAAAGTCTAGTGCAGTAGGTATTGAAGAGAACTCAGCTGGATCCTAATCAGGTCGAAAGAGTACGCATAAGAGTCACTAAACATCTACAGTCTAGGGGAGAGGATGAGTAATGGAAAATCTAGAAGCAGAGTCCATGCTTGTTTTACTGGATTTGGTGAAGGCATTAGCAGTAAGAATTGGAAGGGGCAGACTGGGGGCCTTCAAGGTTGCGTTTGTTTTGAAATGGCATAGGGAGAAGTCCATCGCGTTCCCATGAAAGTGCAGTTCCATGCTAAGCTCCAGCTCTCAAGTCTTGTCTGCAGTGATGGTTCTGGCATTTCAGAGAAGTCGGGTATCCTTGATCGTGGGGTGAGGGTGCCCCTTTCCCCGTGAGGTGCCCTGGTGTTGGGGTGCTGTGTGTCTCCTCATGCAGAAGCAGCCCCTGAGACCCTGGTCTGACCTAGGTTCCGAGCAGCTGCAGGATGTCCTGCTGCCTCAGCCCCTTCCTCTCCCCAGGGAAACAACTAAACGGTTTGCATTCCTGCCATGTCTCCCTCACACCTTCATTGTGGGTACAGGTCATGTTGCCTCCTGCAGATCAATAGCCAGGTGATGTATGGGCTCGGCTGAGTAAATAGATACTGTATATGTGAAAGAAATTACACCAGCAGTCGTGTCTGTGCGCTGTGTAGGTGTAAAACGGGTACTAGTGCTAGTACTGCATGTTGCGTTTCTGTGCACTGACAGACCTGTACTTGGGTTGTGAGAGTTCAGGCTGCAGAAGGTTAGCAGAGACACAGACCTGGCACACCAGTTAGTGTGACAGGGGAATATCCCCTCCGTGAAGTGAGATGTAGTGCAAAAGCCAGGAGTGGAAAGTTCATGCCACACTGACGTTTCACGTACCAAAAGCCGGCTAGCAGCACTTGACAGATTCATATAAAAATTCATTGTATTCTCTGATACTGGGAGGGGTGGAAAAGTGGAAAATTATATCTGTGTTCTGATGACATACCGGGGCCGTGGATCCCACCCTACACGTGCAAAACCAACCTGCTGAAGAGTTGAGAAGGAAGCAGTCTTGGCAGGGATTGTGACTTCTATAAAAAAGCTGTTTGCTGCTCTCTGCTCTGTGTTACTGTTCTTATTTTGCTGGAGAGTGAACAAGGTTGGAGGCGCGGAGTGGCTAGTCCGGTGCAATGCTTCAACACGTAGCGATGCCCCATTTTTATCACTTCACAGAAACAGTGTTATGTTTCACATTTTTGACTGCTCATCCCAGAGATAGATCTTGGCCTTTTTTTTTTTTTTCTTCACTTGCATGGAACTGAGACATGAAATATAGCCTGTGTGTCCATTTTAATAATGATCCTATAATGCTTTTTACCCTAAAGGATCCCTAGGCGCTTTACAAATTAGGTCTCAAACACAAGAATCCCTGAAGGATAGGTACTTCCAGGATGAAATGTGGACATTGTTTTTCTGAGTTATGAGAGAGAAAAAAATATATGATATTTCTTTTTGCTTGATTTCTTTTTGCTTTGCCTTTCACCTCCCTTTTCTTCTGGTTGTACTGGAAGAGTGTACAGAGAAGAAGGGGAAGTCCAGACTACCTTCATCTGATGCTGGAATCTCAGAGAGCTGAGATCCAAATAACTAAGGATTTTTTTCCTCTCTGGCTTCAGGCTGAGTTTATATTTAGGGCAGAGGAATAGCCCTTTTCGCCCAGCCATTTCTCACGCATACCCTTCAAGCCTCCGAGTCCCCTGTGTGAGCGGCTGAGGTGCCTACTGATATCTAAATGTGCTCTCTAGGAGCTTACACCATCACTGGCTTTGGCCCTGCGCCCCTTGCTGATGGCTCATTTTCCGTCAAACCCTCCCTAGAGCTTTTTTGAATGTTCTGGTGAATTCTCAAGTCAGCTAGCTGGCAGGATGCGGGAGGCAGTAGAGTTTGCTGCTGGGTATTGGCTTGGTGGTTCCTCTCTGAAGAGCTGTTCGAGCCTTGCCCATGTTGCCCCTTTTCCCAGCTGGTCTGGAAGTTTCTTCTGATTGTATGAAGTCACTGAAGGAAGGGGAATGATCCCATCTGCTTAAGGCCGCTCTTTGAGACAGTCACTGGCCTGAGCTTTGTCTGTTGGTACTGGCTGGTACACCTCCAGCACACCCTGCTCCCAACAGCATTTCAGGAGCAGGGCAGGGAGCCTCTGTCCCTGGGACTGTCAGGAAGGCCATGGCAAGGGGGGAGAAAAGGTCACCGCTCTCAGTGTGTCTTGGCACAGAAAGACAAGTAGAGATGCCAGGAATTTAATATTACCTGGATAGTGCCAGCCCAAACAATATGACTTTATATTGTGTGGCTGCACTGGCGGCCAGGTGCCGGTCACCTGCTGAGCTTGGAGCCTGTCACCACCCACCTGTTCTGCAGGAAACGTAGAGGCAGAAAGTCTTCAATTAACCATATAACTTAACTACTTCGCACCTGCAGTCACACACGAAAAGCCTCAGCTGATGCTTGTTCCTGGCCTTACATGCTACTGCTGGCACACATCGTGTGTGTGTTTCCTTAATAATTTATATCAGAGTATGTCAGTGAAACATACTTAAACCAAGGAAAAATTGGCAATCTGAGTGCTCATTGCACTCCACTGGTCAAAGGAAAGGCCTGGCTTTGTTCAAGGATGGGAAAATCAGGGCTCCTCCACTGCGGTGGGTCTCTCCTGCAGGGGGAAGACCTGCTTGTGGTCATGGACCTGACACCCCCCCCCCCGGCTGTGCCACCTGATAACCCTGGCAGGTCCTTTTCTTCTTTACCTCTGTCCCCCAGCTTGTAAGAAGGGTTAAACAAATATTTACTTACCTCCTTCACAGGAGGGTGCTGTGCCTTAATGCATGTTTTTTAAGGGCTATGAGACCCCTGGTATGGACACAGTGTGGAGCAAGGGCAGAGGGAGGCAGACAGGCCAAGGTGGAAGAGGCGAGTGGCAGCTGGCCAGGGCCAGGTGACGGTGCGTACGTAGCCCTTCCCACCCTCCACGCTTCATGTGTTCGATTGTGATTGAGAAGTGCATCAGTGGGCCCCATCCTTGCTCTCGGCATTTCTGTGCGTTTTGGTGCTGATGATATGAAAAACCCCCAAATGTCACATAATGGATTGCTCGTTCCACTGTAGGAGATAAACACCTCCCAGCAGCCGGACTGGCGCAATAAACGCTTGCCGTCTGCTTCGTTTATATGACTTTCAGGGCAGGGACCTCTTTTCGCACACAGAAAGCGCGGTGCACATCTGTGCTGCTCCCCAGATGATAATGAAGCTGCCAACACAGAGCAGCTCCTGGCCGTAGCAAGGGACACGTGCGGCGTGACGGGCCGGCGTCCCCACCTGTGCGGTGTGTGTTGGCGTGCCCATGGTTAACAGCGAGGAGCACGGTAGGGGCAGTAAGGCTGAGGGCAACTACCTGTGGGGTCTGGTGAGAAGCTGAGCACGCTGATAAGAGGCTCACAGCCGTCTCTCCTCGCCATCCTCTCCGTTCCTGCGAGAAGGTGATCTTCTTGCCTGGGGTTAGGCGCGTTGTCAGGGCAATCTGCATGGTGTTCACACTTCAGCTGTGCCGTGTGACTAACCAGAAACCTTCCCCGCTCGCTGCTTTCTGTGAGCAGTAAGAGAGCCTGTGTTTGCCAAGGAAATTATTTGCTTAGCTGTACAAAGCCTCGCAAGGTCATTGCCTTCCCTGCTTGTGATGGGCTGAGGTTTTTACCTTCTGCTCCCTCTTGACAAAATAAGACAACAGACTTTCTTTGAGTTGTTTGTTCCCGGCTGACGCTGTCTCCTCGTTAAATGCTGGGGGATCGTTTTGTTTCCTTTTACAGTTTCGCCCTTTGGACATGTTTGTGCATCCTGTTGGAGTGAGATGCAAACAGGAACTCAGACGCAGCGACTGCCGAGACGGATCCTGACCCCCTCCCCCCGGCGGTGGCGAAGGAAGGGTGCGGGGGGGTGGTAGCAGAGAGGTGGGGAGCTTTTCTACTTTGCCATCCGGTAACTGCGTGAGCTTGTGACAAGGGACTGAGGTAATTTGCAAAGCTGGTTTCTGGCACTCCCTGAAGATCGATAATCTACTTAGCTGAAAGTTTGCTGGATCTCGCGGTGCCTCTCTCGTCCCTTGATTAGCATGCTGGATCCCATTCACACGTGCTCCGTCCAGCCCTCCTGTTGCCTTGCAGCTCCAATGCATGTCTTGCTCCGTTGCGTCCAGCTTTCTCAGGTTTTTCTAGCTGGCTCTCATGCCACATCCTTTCTAATCGTACTGCACCTTGGCTGCAAGGAGGTTTCCTGAGCTGATGTGCAGCAGCGTGCGCTCAGGCTGCCGGCCGTGCCCTGCACTGCCTTCCTCCTTGTCCTGTGTGCTGCCCAGGCTCGTCTTTGCCTTTCTTCCTGGGCATTAGGCAAAAGGGTGGAGCAGCACCAAATGGCATGCTCCAGCCTGACAAGGCCCCGGTCTGTGCCCGCTGGGGATGCTCGGTAGCCTGGTGCGGGACTGTGGAGCCAGCGGCCCCGGGGCAGGGCCGTGCCCTGGGCAGCGTGGACAGGAGGTGGCGCTCCCCTGCTGAGCACCGCGGCAGCAGGGTGCCTGCGAGCTG